GCCCCTTCTTATGCCAAACGTACATCTAAAAACGGCAAACTGATATTTCTGACGCTCACTAGCATTCAGTAGTCGATTGTAATGAGTACACGCTATCTGCACTTCGGACAAACAAACTGTGCACACTCATTTAAGATGTCTTCACGCTCTTCCAAAATTAAGAGACTTCGAAAACAAGCACCCTGATTGATAGAAACCTTATCTAAAATTCATGTTGTACTAGCACGATTGGAAACGGATGAAAAACACCCAAATGCAACGGAAATTTTTCGTCTGAACACAAAATTTAAGGCAATATACGGTTACTGATGAGAACCCATCAACAATTATACCTCTTTCGAAATATTCGTCAGATCCGAATCCCAAAATACTAGAAAAGCGATGCAGTCGGAGCGCGAGCAAACCAATTCTAGGTATCAGGATCACAAACATCTGTCGTCACATCAGTCTTTCAAGTTCATGTCAACGAGAAAGATGTAGTTTCAACCAGGGGTTGACTCTCGGTTTATTCTGACTATTTCTAGTCACATTCGTGTGAATTTATGTGATTACATTGCAATGCGTTCAGAAATTATTATTTCACCCCTCGAAATCAATCTGCTGTATTCTTCCTGAAAACAGTGAAGCTGAAGGGCAGTTAGCAGTGGATAAAAAAAGTCAGATTGTTGCTAATTTAACTGACTAGTTCACACCATCTCCTGACAGCTGACAGCTGAAAACTAGGAAGGACCAAACGAATCTTTCGGTCCGAACTGAACATTTTCGGCCATATCCTCAGCCGCGTCAGTGATCGCACGTAATACTGAGGTCATAATATCACAATACAGTGGTCACTGATACCAATTTGAATTAATCCGTGATTCAAGAAAACAACAACTTGATGTTATCCAAGAACGACCGATTCAATTCAGACCTAGATAAGTTCCGTTCTCTGAGCTGGACATTTCAGTTGCCCATACGTATCGATACAAGGGAAGGAATGTCATGGAATTTGACTGCTAATTGATGTCCACGCAGACAAAGAAAAAGAAGACGTCAAATTTGTCATATTTAATGTCTTTAACAGTTCGGGCAGTTTATTTTGTATAAGATGTTTTGTCAGTCTTCTTTTATCTTTTGTCCGGAAGCAATTATAAACATTCATTAGATATGAAGATTATTGAAATATTGGATAGGGAGAGTAAAAATAACAATGAACAATTCTTAAAGGCTTGACACTCAAGTCAACCAGCAATCAACAACCACAGTGATACTGACCCTATTTATCAGTCAATAAGAAAAGTTATAAACAAACATAAAATAAAAAAACAGATTAGGAGGTGACACAATCAAAATAAAGGTGCAGACAAAGACTATTTTGAGGTTAACAACAGCCAATCAAGACCAACATCAACAGAACAAGATGTGTGTTATACGTGGAGAAATACCAAAAGTTCACTTAAATCTGAAGTTTATTTTGATACGTCACCACGATCAAATTTTCCCTACCACCGCAAAATCATATTGGTGTGCCTTGTGTTCTCAACTTGTAACTTGGTCGTAGATAAGCTAGAACCTTCCGAAGAGTACTATGTTTACTAACAATGAGTGATGGACGATCCCAATCTTTTTGCCACCACAACACCTACGATCAATCTACAGGTTTAGGTCTAGGCCTTTGACAGTCACCCTAAAATATCCGACTGTCTTTTCAAAAACCAATCTGATTAGAGCATATAACAGAATTGCTATAGATGTGGATGACATTCCAAAACTATAATCAACACTCACTTGGGAGTCCGTCAATTAACACGTACATCTCGGTTTAGGAATGCTGCGCAAAATTTCAGAATATTGATCGATGACACATTCAGATTTCCCAACTGAATAACAGTCTGGTTGTGACTCAGGAGAGAGAACCTTATCCTAAGAATGTGGACCCTATTTTTCAGAGGGTAAAAAACACGGTATCACTCTAAGTACACGCACACATCAAATCAGAACCAATTCATATGATGTTCTGCAGCAAACTATTGAATTTCAAGGCATTCACCCTCTAAAAAATAAAGTGGCGGCCAGTCTTGATTGCCTCCAACTAACCTCGCTAATACAACTGTGTAAATTCAATGGGAGGTAGTTCAGGTCGATTCGCGCAACCCTTACGACCTGTAAACAGGAAAATCACTGATGTAGAGTACCCTCAAGGCAGCATTCATAGCAATATATTGTGCTGCACCATATGTTAGTTATTTCCACAACTAATTGTAGTTATGTCATAACTAACCGATCAAATTGTGGTCTAAGCGCCCACCACGTGAACTGTAGCTTTCCCATATACTCTGAGCTCGCCAATATTGCGTTGAAGATCCCAATACATTATAGAACATTACGCTTTCCCATTATTCACTGTCTACAAAACTCATTAATTTATTCCTACCTATTATTAAGATAAGTATAATCCTCGAAAGTTTTGAATGACAGACAGTAACTGCAAGTCCATTTCATGAGAATGAAAAAGGCTGAAGACACCTGCAATTAATACCCCGAAATGGTAGCGCAAACTTAATACTCATGAAGAAATTCATTAAGGGAACTAAACTGTACGATAATGACATCCAAGGAATCATTCTGAACAATACAGTATCTATAACATTAGTCTCCATAATTGTCAGTCAGTCAGTTACAACGTAGAACTTCGTACCTACGTATATCAGTTCAAGTTGCCATACTACATTAGCACAGAGGCACAACTGTCAGTTCAAATCCCATAGTGGTGGAGACAGTAGAAGTATTTGCAGTAATGGAGAAGATTAGGGTTCGAAGACGTTATTCAAGAAGTATAAATCAGCGAGGTAAATTTAGAAAGCCAAAGATAGAGATGATGAGGAACACTGAAGGTTAGGATTTGACAGAACACAAAGAATGAATGCACCTACGGCATTGCAAACGGTTTTGAGCAATGCCATTAAAGGTCTCTAACCATCGCTTACTATTATCTCGCGGGCCTCAACTAGGTAGTCGACACCTATGGACATGACTCAGTCCACTTGTCAGTGACTTCATGGATTTCTGCCGTGTTATGGTTTGGCCGCCCATAGCTTTCTTCCCATCTGTTTCTACATAGCAAAACATAGAACTATGTCATGTTGCTTAGGGTAGTCAGAAAACTGCATTTTGTCAGCGTCTTCATCGAATAGAACTATGTCATCGGTATATTCTTAGTCAACTAGTGAATCTACTGGAAATTCAGACGAAGATAATGTTATCTCTAAAAGTAAGTCTATGACAGAATTAAACCAGAATGGAGATAGTGGACATCCCTGACGGACACCACTTGTAGTAACCAATTCCGTTGACAGTTAGCCATAAGCTCTCTATCGACCAGTATAAGGTACACCTTTTAATGGCAGACACTGCCAAGGAACCTCACGATCCACAGAGTCGAGTGCCGCCTTAAGGTCAAGAAATACTACTATTGTGGGACGTATGGAAGTGTGTCTTTGTTCTAGGACCTGACGTAGTGTGAATATTTGGTCTACACATCCACGTCCAGGTCAAAAACCAGCCTGGTTTCCTCTAGTCTGCTCTTCACGAGCTTCCGTTAAGCGTCGAAGTATTATTGAGGTCAATATTTTCGACACTATGTTAGTTAGGCTGATTACTCTGTGATTGTTACAAGGGGACTTTTGTCTTTTCTTGTAGACCGGGACAATCAGTGATTGAGACCAGTCATTTAACATCTCGGTCAATCTAACTGCTAAAAATGAACCACCATCCTTTAAAGTCTTAGGGGTCAATCCATCAGGATCGCTGCTCTCCCTCGCTTCAGATTTCCTATAGCTTTTTCAACTTCATGAAGACTCGGAGGACTTATATCGATTTGCCATTCAGGATGACTGGAGATCGTGGGTAGGTGAAGTGTGGCTGAAGGCCAGCTGAACTGATTCTTAAAGTGTTCTGCACATCGATCCAATCTCCTGGATTGAGAATGAATAATAATCCCATCCTTTTCCGAAATACTCTCTCACATTTGGGTTCCTAATACCGGTTTCCTTGATAAGTCGGAACAACTGTCTACTGTTGCCTACCTGAAAAGGAAAGTAGATTAGTGTTGGTCTTAACCACCTGGGAGCGTGACCGTAGAGCTCAAGCGACAACTGCTTCAGGCCGGTCACGCATGGCCTTTTTATGAGAGTTTTTCAAAGCATTGGCTTCGCTCTTGTTTAAAATGCCTTACTGCCGACGACGGAAATCAGTGAGGTAAGGTGAGGTGTGAAATTTTTAGGTTCGCCATTCCTAACCCCTTCCTTCCTTGTGAGAAGGCAGAATCACTGCGAATGCTTGTTGACCGAGGGGAAAACCTGACTGCTGTCACACCCCTCTACAGTCAGCAGTACCACTTTGCCCTCAGAACTTGATTAGCTGTTTTTAGTCTCACAATTCTCCAATCGACCTGCCTGGCATGGCAGAACCTACAGGAACATGTGTTCCAGCCAATATATCTCGATAGGGTCATTTAAATCTACTAATTCCTCGATATGATTTAAGCACAGAACATAAATTTCTGAACGACAAAGATCTCCCCAGATTATTAACTTGATCCCTATAGCCTATTATCTCTGTTTCCTCTCTCTTGCTTTCACTTCAGTTCTCTCGCAAAATTTTCACTACCAATTAATAAACTAAACTATCCATTGTTTACTTAGTCCTGAAATGTTACTCATATTAGCATTATAATTTCCTCATTATTCTCCATACTGCGAATAAAAGATCTCCAGTCAGGTAATGTGATAGCTGCTGGTATCCAGAAACCCAAGTGCCCTGAAACGAACGTATTCATTGAAATCACAGGATATATAAACTCACAAACTTCTGCCAACTGATTAGAATTAAACAATCAGGTGGCAAGAACCCCATTCATTGGACACTACCAAACACCTTAAACCGTACCGAAAGAACAAAAATCGAGCGCAGAGAAATCAATTGGTTTATACTAGCTCGTGAAGAAGATATTGGGTATATTGGACGCGGCTAACTTAATGTTTGTGCAACGTAGTGAAGACAGTCTCATTTTCATTCCTTCAAAATCTCATTCTACTACATTTCAGTTTGAGTTTTTAGGTCCTTCTGATCACACTTGTGCTAATATTAATTCTTCCTAATCACCACCACTAAATTTAATTAAATTCTGTGTGCTTATTAAATAACTGCTGTCTTCTCGCTTACTTTCCTACCATACGACTTACCTTCAAACTTTGCGCGAACCGTTACTGATATTTGACCATTAAGAGACCTACTCGTTGGATGGTTATACGTATCTGTTTATTGCGGATCACGAATGTAGGTGATCTTTGCTGGTGATCAAAGGTTCCTCGAATCAGTCACCACGGTTGAAACTTAACCCTGATTATTCTATCTTGATACTCAGGAGAACGTCAACAGCATATATTAATATTAAAAGTTAGTAGATATGCAGTGTGGAACCATCGCCTCATATGCCTGTTCATGGCTCCCTGATGAGTGTCGACAAGCTGCTCAACATTCATTGTTGTGTCTCCCGTGTGATTTGGCTGAGGCTCGGCAATATTTCACTGGGCCTACAAGTGACCGAGTTCAGCTTCGTCGTAATATGTACGATCGAACTTCCTTTGATAATGCTATTACTCTGATGAGTTTCCGGAATGTTTAAATAAGGTCAAACCAAACGTCTTACCCAAATGATTGAGTCTCATAGTTTCACTGTGACAAAAATCCTTTCTAAAGCCGCATTAAGTCGTCTTCCTCTCATAATTTCGACTGTTGTTTTGTGTTACCTGCTTTCTAAAAGGCTTTCGATGTTCTGAGTTAAAAGTATTTACTATTAGTTGAGAATCCAATTCGCCGCTGACCTCTTGACTTAGGTTATGGTTTCCCTATAATTTCTTCCGTGTTAATAGATTCATACCTACGGTTAACTGTTCTGCGTCTGTTATTCCTTATCGAAAGCCCCATAAAGTCTGTTATTTCAACCTGTTTCATAAAGTGCTAAAGGATAATAGTATAGCTGTTTCTATGGAGGTTGATGCAACGTTAATATGGTGCTATCCTGGAAAAAACAAATTTATGGAACTTTGCTATAAAAAAATCTTATGCAAATACGAAGTGAAGACTCTTCGTCTAAAAAAAGTATATGTGATGTGGAAATAAATTCATTCGTATGATGCAACTTTGAATACAGAATTGATAGATGAATACCTTAAAAACATGCTTGATGTTTAAAATTTGATTGTAAATATTTATACATATACACTTAACTACTTTACTTTAGATTCTTGGGAATTAATTAATGGTCACTGAACGGACAGCTCACGTCATTGTACTCGGTGATCTTTCACGATCACCCAGAATCTTGTCCCAAGCACAATTTCTCTCTCGTGATGGTTGGAATGTAACTATATCAGGATACAAGTCTGAAATGGTAAACAAGTTAAATCCCAAATTAAAAGTCCTGAACATACCAATGTGTCCGGATTTCAAAACCCTACATTTCCCTTTATTTCTGGCTTTTATTTTCAAAGTATGTTCGATTTTGTTCTAAGTACGTTAACTTCAGTTCATTTTTACGGCTGTGATACTCTTTTTTCATCTTGTCAGACATTGTCGAAGTCGTCTAATTTTGGTTCAAAATCCTCCTGGAGTACCAACTTTTCTCATCGTATGGTTATTTATCAAGATTACCGGTAGAAGTTTAGTTATTGACTGGCATAACTATGGCTACACTCTTGTAGAGCTAAACGCTCCTAAGAAAAGTTTTTTCACGCGGTTAGCAAATCACTCCCACTTCTATACATATTTACATTTATAGGTTGTACTACATATTAGAAGTTGATTTTGCTGGTTGCTTTTTATCCAGAATGTCCAATCGTGTTGCGCATTTATGCGTATCAAAGGCTTTAAAGTATGATCTGAAAAAGAAATCAATTGAGGGAACTGTTTATTATGATCGTCATCCAGAAGAATTCAAACCTACATCTGTAGATATTGCCCACTGTCTGTTCTTGAAGTAAGATCATTCAGTATTCTGTTTACTTGTTAATTAATAGTTTATATTTTTTATGCTTTTAAATGCTAATTTGTAACGTGTTATATTTTCGACCAAATGTGTTGGGGTTGCTTTGTTGCTATTTTCGTCCTACGTATGAAGACGGTTCTAGAATATATATATACCCAGTCAGTTTGTTAGCTACGATGTGCGTACGTACACCAGTTCAAGTTGCCTTTACTACATTATCACACACGTATGGGATTGTCAACATAAATCCCATAGAGGTAGAGGTAGTAACAATATTATTGATAATGGAAAAGATTAGGGATCAAACTTAAGATTCCAAGTATATCCCCAGTGAAACAAATTCAAATAAAGAAAAAACGTCTTGAGAAATTCAGATCAGAAGTTAAGAGAAGTCAAAGAATGGATGCATCTGCGCCAAAATATGCTGTGGTTATCTGTTTAGAAATGCTAATCTTGCATGATAACTTTATGACTATTTTTGGATTTCAGTTTTAAGTAATAAAAGCCAGTTCATTCATTCATTTTTCTACCTGTCCGTTTTGCCAATTTCATATAAAAAAAACTCCCATAGTTGAGTCATTTAAGCAGTATAATCCTTGAGCAGTCAGTTAGATATGACTACTCTGTTATGGAGCGGTAGTCTTATATTCAAAGTGATAGGTTTTTAAACAACCTCTACGCCTTCAATGGTTTGAGAAGCCATGTAATACAACAACCTCACATCTAAAATGCTGCACTTTTGTATTTCGCAACATTATCCACTCGTCTAAAGCTTTACTACTACTTGACGGTTGGGGTCTTGAATTATGTATGGACCTCTACTGATAGGTGAAGTAACTATGTATAATGCTGGATTTGCTAAAACAAAGATATTTCAGCACTTCCTTCCAGCAGAATAGTCCTTGCACCCCTCACTTATCATGTACCCAACACACAACATGTAGCCTAATTCCGATTATTGAAACTACCGACCGTAGCTGCCACCTTGACGTGGTGGTCGGGCTTGCCTATCGTGATGATCCAACCGAGCTATATTGGCTGGAACACATGTTCCTGTAGGTTCTACCATGCCAGGCAGGTCGATTGGAGAATTGTGAGACTAAAAACAGCTCAAGGTCTGAGGGCAAAGCAAACACTAACTTGAGGTATAAAGAAAAACGTCTGTTAACCTGGCGACCCCCAAAGTCGTCTCAACGTTAGACACAACTAGATCACATCGCCATCAGCCACCGATTGAGGGTTCGATAGACTGTCGCTCGTTCTGTGGCACATGTTTAGATTCAGACTATGCTTTAGTGCGACCGCGTATTTGTTTGAGGCTTACTGGACGTAGGAAAGACATCGCAAGGAAGCCTCTTAGGGCTCTACTTAATGATAATGAGGCTGAGAAAATATTCCACGAACAACTAGAAAGAGAGTTAGGCAACCACGTAAGTGATTCCCATCCGGAGGCATCTTGGAATGATACAGCAGTGATATCTGCTAGTAAGGTTGACCATAAGGCTAGAGTGAGGCCGTGGATCTCTGTAGCATCCACCGAACTGATGGATGCTCGAAAACGCATCCCACCTGACTCTGAACATGATGAAGAACGAAGTCAGCTTAAGCGCAGGCTGATATGAAGCCTACGTAACGACTGTGAACAGTGGTGGGTGGTGAAAGCAAAAGCGATGGAAAAGGCAGCGGCGATAGGCAACAGTAGACAGTTGTACCGACTTATCAAGGAAACTCGTACAAGGAATCCCACTGTAAGTGAAACTATCTTGGAAAAGGATGGGACTATTATTTATTCTCAATCCAGGAGACTGGATCGATGTGCAGAACATCTTAGGGATCAGTTCAACTGCTCTCGAGCCACTCTTCGGTTACCCACGTTCTCCAGTCATCTTGAATGGCAAGTCGACGTAAGCCCTCCGAATCGTTATGAAGTTGAAAAGGCTATAGGAAATCTAAAGCTAGGGCGAGTAGCAGGTCCTGATAGGCTTACCCCTGAGATTTTTAAGGATGGTGGTCCAGTTTTAGCAGCTAGGTTGACTGAGATCTTAGGTAGAATCTGCAAACTGGACATAATCCCATCCAAGTGGTCTCAATCACTGATTGTCCCAATATATAAGAAAGGACACAAGACTTCTCGTGACAATCACAGGAGAATGAGTCTAACTAATATAGTTTCTAAAATATTGACCTCAATAAATACTTCGACGCCTAACGAAAGCTCGTGAAGAGCAGACTCGAGAAAACCAGTCTGGTTTCCGACCTGGACGTGGTTGTATAGACCACATCTTCACACTACGACAGGTCCTGGGACACAGACAGACATTTAGACGTCCGACAATAGTTGTGTTCCTGGACCTAAAGGCGGCATTTGACTCAGTGGATCGTGAAGTTCTGTGGCGTGTCTGTCATTGGAAGGTGTACCAAAGAAGTAAGTTAACCTTATACAAGCTCTCTACTCGAACATCACTGGTCGAGTGAGAGCTTATGGCGAACCGTCACCGGAATCAGTTACTTCAAGGGGTGTCCACTCTCTCCATTCTTGTTTAATTTTATCATAGACATGCCCCTAGATATAACCATATTCTCGTCTGAATTTTCAGGAGTAGACCTTTTACCAGGAGGCTCGCTTATCGACTTAGAATATGCCGACGACATAGTCCTACTTGGTGAAGACGCTGACAAAATGCAGAGTCTTCTGACTACCTTAAGCAACAATGCAATCATGTTCGGGGTGCGGTTTTCCCCCTCGAAATGCAAAATGTTGCTTCAAGATTGGGTTGCATCGGCACCTGAACCAGTGGTAGGGAGTGAAGTAGTCGATCGTGTAGAACGCTTCACTTATCTGGGGAGTCTCATCAGTGCTGATGGCCTGGTGACTGACAAAATCTCAGCTCGGATACAGAAAGCTCGATTGACCTTTGCCAACCTGCGTCACTTATGGCGTAGGCGTGATATCCGTTCGCTAACCAAAGGGCGGGTGTACTGCGCAGCAGTTCGTTCCGTTCTCTTATATGGCTGTGAAACATGGCCGTTAAGAGTAGAAGATGTTCGTAGGTTACTAGTATTCGATCATAGATGTTTAAGAAGCATTGCTCGTATATCGTGGGACAGCCGAGTAAGCAATGCTGTCGTTAGGAAACGAGTACTAGGTAAGGATGGCAGATCAATAGATGAAATGGTGAAACTTCATCAGTTGAGGTGGTTGGGACATGTGTTACGTATGCCTAACCACCGACTGCCTCGACGAGCTATGTTTTGTGGCGTAGGAGTAGGTTGGAAGAAAGTTAGGGGCGGCCAGACCAAAACATGGCACAAATCCATGAAGTCTCTGACAAGTGGACTGAGTCATGTTGGTAGATGTAGACTACCTGGTTGGGGTCCGCGAGACGAAAGTCATCGATGGTTAGAGACCTTGAACGACATGGCTCAAAATTGTTTGCAATGGCGCAGGTGCATCCACTCTTTGAGCTCTCTCAAATCCTAATCTTCTGGATTAGCCAGCACCTCTACCTTTGTCTTTCTAACCTTATCTCACTGAATTATATTTTTTGAATAATATCTTCAAACCCTAGTCTTCTTTATTAACATTAATACCTCTACTATCTTTATCACTATGGGATTTGATTTGACATTTGCGTTTCTGTGCTAATAATGTGGTATGGCAACATGAACTTATGTACATACGTACGAAGTTCTACGTTGCAACTGACTGACTGACTGACTGATTGGATCGATGTGCAGAACACTTTAAGAATCAGTTCAGCTGGCCTTCAGCCACACTTCACCTACCCACGATCTCCAGTCATCCTGAATGGCAAATCGATATAAGTCCTCCGAGTCTTCATGAAGTTGAAAAAGCTATAGGAAATCTGAAGCGAGGGAGAGCAGCGATCCTGATGGATTGACCCCTAAGACTTTAAAGGATGGTGGTTCATTTTTAGCAGTTAGATTGACCGAGATGTTAAATGACTGGTCTCAATCACTGATTGTCCCGGTCTACAAGAAAAGACAAAAGTCCCCTTGTAACAATCACAGAGTAATCAGCCTAACTAACATAGTGTCGAAAATATTGACCTCAATAATACTTCGACGCTTAACGGAAGCTCGTGAAGAGCAGACTAGAGGAAACCAGGCTGGTTTTTGACCTGGACGTGGATGTGTAGACCAAATATTCACACTACGTCAGGTCCTAGAACAAAGACACACTTCCATACGTCCCACAATAGTAGTATTTCTTGACCTTAAGGCGGCACTCGACTCTGTGGATCGTGAGGTTCCTTGGCAGTGTCTGCCATTAAAAGGTGTACCTTATACTGGTCGATAGAGAGCTTATGGCTAACTGTCAACGGAATTGGTTACTACAAGTGGTGTCCGTCAGGGATGTCCACTATCTCCATTCTGGTTTAATTCTGTCATAGACTTACTTTTAGAGATAACATTATCTTCGTCTGAATTTCCAGTAGATTCACTAGTTGACTAAGAATATACCGATGACATAGTTCTATTCGATGAAGACGCTGACAAAATGCAGTTTTCTGACTACCCTAAGCAACATGACATAGTTCTATGTTTTGCTATGTAGAAACAGATGGGAAGAAAGCTATGGGCGGCCAAACCATAACACGGCAGAAATCCATGAAGTCACTGACAAGTGGACTGAGTCATGTCCATAGGTGTCGACTACCTAGTTGAGGCCCGCGAGATAATAGTAAGCGATGGTTAGAGACCTTTAATGGCATTGCTCAAAACCGTTTGCAATGCCGTAGGTGCATTCATTCTTTGTGTTCTGTCAAATCCTAACCTTCAGTGTTCCTCATCATCTCTATCTTTGGCTTTCTAAATTTACCTCGCTGATTTATACTTCTTGAATAACGTCTTCGAACCCTAATCTTCTCCATTACTGCAAATACTTCTACTGTCTCCACCACTATGGGATTTGAACTGACAGTTGTGCCTCTGTGCTAATGTAGTATGGCAACTTGAACTGATATACGTAGGTACGAAGTTCTACGTTGTAACTGACTGACTGACAATTATGGAGACTAATGTTATAGATACTGTATTGTTCAGAATGATTCCTTGGATGTTAGTTGGACACTTTTGTTCCTATATGCTGGTATAATCAGTGATCGAGACTAATCAAATGAGAATGTAAAATCCTGCAGTGTTAATTGTGTAGGTTATTGCTCATTCTCCCATGACATGCATACTGATATTTACAATACATAGTCTGAAGCAGCTTCAAATGAGCAGTAATATTTATTGAACCCTCATCGTTAACACTGATGATGTAAGCAGTGGAAAGCTGATGGCAGAAGCTAAAAATCAAATTTTATTACGAACAAGATAGGTTACGGGTGACGTTAGTATTATGTGGATGGCTTTTCACTCCCTGGTTACCAACACGTAGAGACCTCTCGCGCAACTTAAAAGCAAACCTTGGTAGCATTGATCATGATCTGTGGACGCTTCCATAGAGCCTAAAATACAGTTGCTTGAGACCGGTCGCACATAACCTAATGAATAGTGTTAGAAATAAATGAAGCGAGGTTCCATTTCTATGGTCGACATCAAGTTTCTGTTGTATGAAGGTACAATTCCTGACGAAGCTAATTATTCCTGCGACACTTTTAAGACCACACAGTGGTTGGTAGTATGACTTCACCCTTGAACATTATATTTAGCTTTAATCTTGCCATTCTCCAACCCACCTGTTTGCCATCGTAAAATTTCAAGGATCCAGTGTTACAACCAATACAGGTCCACTGGTAAAACATTTAATCATCATATTGGGAGCCTGAACATACGTTTTGGAAAAAAGTAGTCATAGTAATCCCTAAGTTAGTGGTGATTACTATATTCACACAGCACTAAGCATATTGGCTAATTGATCCAGGAAATTTAATTTCTATATTTTTCTAGTGTTTTTTAGTACAATTTGCTGAACTCTATGGGCTTATTCAATTTTTAGATTAAGTGATCAATATGAAGTGTTTAGAAATAAGTTAGATTCACGTCGATTTACGCGCTTTACTGAGGTAACTGCTTTGCCAACTAACACCAAGAACAATGAACCCCACTGGCGCCCAAACCGCCCAGCACTAGTTGTCAGTAGTTGCAGCTGGACACCTGATGATGACTTTATGCTGGCAATCAAAGCGCTGGAAATCTACGACAAGGCAGCCCAAAAACCTAATTCAGGTCTACCCAGTATTGTGTTAGCTGTAACAGGTACAGTTTTACACTAAGCTATATTTAACGCTTCAGTTCTGTTCTAAACATTTTCCACTTGTTCCTAATCATTCTCGTATCTAGGCTGGCTTTGTTTACAAGTCACGTTTGTCAAATAAACTATGGTATCATTTACATTAGCCGTTCGCATCCAAACCTGTTATCCTCTAATACCTTCCATCTCCTTTACCTCATGCCTTGAATGGATTCATTTTACGTCCTGTGATCGCTGAACAATACCTCGTAACAAACCAACAATCGGAATCCTGATTCTAATTTGGTTTATTTCGTATCCACTATTTTCTTTGTAACGTAGCGTCTGTGCTTTGGCCAACTATTCGTCCACCCAGCACAACTAACACTGGGTCCGCAAGCTCCGCTTTATACGCTACCTTTGAGTTCAAAAATCAGCAACCAGCCTGTACAATACTATTTTTCAAGCATATTGGGTAACCTCACACCATAAAATATGAAATTAACACTTAAAAATCATCAAGCTAGTAGTGACAGTGAGTAGTGGAAACTGTAAGTAAGGAAAATGACGACCTAATAGGGATGGTAAGTGGTACAAATTAGTCGAAAGCTTATGACAAAGGATGTGTGTATTTATATAGTACTTAACAGTTACACAATAAGTATATGTATAAATAATAGTCCATAGATTAGTTTTAGGGGTTACCATTTCTCCAGTCTTTATCCTGATATAATAATTCCTATTCCTGACAAAATGCAGAGTCTTTTGGGGAGTCTCATCAGTGCTGATGGCCTGCTGTGTGACGAAATCTCAACACGGATACAGAAGGCTCGATCGGCTTTTGCCAAGTTGCGTCACCTGTGGCTCAGGCGAGATATCCGTTTGCTGACTAAAGAACGAGTATACTGCGCAGCAGTTCGCTGTGAAACATGGCCGGTAAGAGTAGGAGATATTCGCAAGTTACTAGTTTTCGATCATAGGTGTCTCCGAAGCATTGCTCGTGTACATTGTGGGACAACCGAGTAAGCAATGCTGTTGTTAGCGATCGGGTGCTAGGTAAGGATGGTAGATCAATAGATGAAGTGGTGAAACTTCATCAGTTGAGGTGGTTGGGACATGTGTTACGAATGCTTAACCACCGACTGCCTCGTCGAGCTATGTTCTGTGGTGCAGGAGTAGGTTGGAAGAAAGCTAGGGGCGGCCAAACCATAACACGGCAGAAATCCATGAAGTCACTGACAAGTGGACTGAGTCATGTCCATAGGTGTCGACTACCTAGTTGAGGCCCGCGAGATAATAGTAAGCGATGGTTAGAGACCTTTAATGGCATTGCTCAAAACCGTTTGCAATGCCGTAGGTGCATTCATTCTTTGTGTTCTGTCAAATCCTAACCTTCAGTGTTCCTCATCATCTCTATCTTTGGCTTTCTAAATTTACCTCGCTGATTTATACTTCTTGAATAACGTCTTCGAACCCTAATCTTCTCCATTACTGCAAATACTTCTACTGTCTCCACCACTATGGGATTTGAACTGACAGTTGTGCCTCTGTGCTAATGTAGTATGGCAACTTGAACTGATATACGTAGGTACGAAGTTCTACGTTGCTGTTGATTGGTGATTGAATTCCTATTCCACTTGATTGACTGTATGTATGTGATGTCAAGAAAGCAAATTTCACATACTCTGTTAAACCTATTAACTTGACTGCGCCTCACTTATCCTATGTTTAAAGAGTGCTCCCCTGAACTTATTATGTATTCAGAGGACCAGAAATCTTACTGAAATATGTCCTCTGTACAGTAGAATTTGATAGGTACTCCCCGATAACTTCTGAAGTCGCCAAGTTCAAAGTACCACACAAAATTCTGACAGTTTACTGTTTCCACCTAAATATGCATTTTCACAATCGTATTTTTTTCTTTGCTTTAGGTCGTGGCCCATTACAAGGCTACTATAAAAAATTAATAAAGGAACAAAACTGGAAACATGTGGAAGTTATTATGTTGTGGCTTGAATGGTCAGATTATCCAGTGTTTCTTGGGTGTGCTGACTTGGGACTGAGTATACACCGAAGTTCCTCTGGACTGGATTTACCCATGAAAGTGAGTTTTTAGTATCACTACATTTACTACAAATAGTATATATAGTCCGAAAATGCTATTTTCTGTGATCAGCAATAAGGTGGAGTCATTAAATCATTTTTTTAAAACTAAGAAACAGGTTAATAAACCTAACCCTGTATATAGGAATGAAGCTCTGCGTGTTTATATTTCGGGACGACACGTAACATCAGTATGTGGTTTGAGGTCTCTTAGTTTTCTAAAGAAAGTTCACCGAATATTCATACTATAAACTACAACAAACATGGGTCAATACAAGATTTTACGTGAGTATAAATGTCCTATCTTAAGTTATCGTTCCCGATACCCGTAATAATCAGATTCAAAGCTTTGTGAACAGTTATTCGTTAAAAGCCGACTTATACCCGCGTAAATTTTCACTAGTTACTGTTCACGAATTATTTAAACTTGACATCCTTTAACGTTTAATGGGTATTTCTTGATTGTATTTGTATAGGTGGTTGATTTATTTGGTGTGAACGTGCCCGTTTTGGCACTAGGCTATGCAACACTATACGAACTGATGGAAGAAAATAAATATGGCTTATGTTTCGAAACTGCCGAACAACTAGCTAATCAAATGTGCGACTTGTTAAAACCATCCTGTGATTCTACAGTCCAATATATTAATGAACCTAGCCGCTTTTTATCAGTTGGATCAAAGGAACTAATTCGTTTTCGTGAGCGTTTAACTGAAAGAAACAAAAACCTGATTGGAGGATTCACTTACTGGAAAAATACTGCATTGCCAGTTTACGAAAGAGCAGTTCATATGAATCTTTGTAAAAACAAGGATAGTTAGATAAAAATACATAAAACATTTTTCTGGTGTTGGCGATTTTGACTACCACTTACTGCAATTGGCGATTACGTCGGAATTTATAATATACAGTCGTCTAGTCACTGAGTAGTCATAAGCATCACGTATGTTTAGTTTTATCGTGATCTTATTCTGCGTAACGACCGTGAACAGTGGTGGGTGGCAAAAGCAAAAGCGATGGAAAAGGCAGCGGCGATCGGCAACACTAGACAACTTTTCCGTCTTATTAAAGAAACTGGTATTAAGAACCCGAATGTGAGTGAAACTATCTCGGAAAAGGATGGTCTTATTATCCATTCTCAATCCAGGAGACTGGATCGATGGGCAGAACACTTTAGGGATCAGTTCAACTGGCCACGAGCCACTCTTCGGTTACCCACGATCTCCAGTCATCCTGAATGGCAAATCGACCTAAGTCCCCCTAGTCTTAATGACGTTGAGAAAGCGTTAGGAAATCTGAAACGAGGACGAGCTGCAGGTCCTGATAGACTGACCCCTGAGATATTTAAGGATGGTGGTCCAGTTTTAGCAGCTAGGTTGACTGAGATCTTAGGTAGAATCTGGGAACTGGACGTAATCCCATCCGACTGGTCTCAATCACTGATTGTCCCAATCTATAAGAAAGGACAAAAGTCTTCTTGTGACAATCACAGGGGAATAAGACTAACTAATATAGTATCTAAAATACTGGCCTCTATAATACTTCGACGCTTAACGAAAGCTCGTGAAGAGCAGACTCGAGAAAACCAGTCTGGTTTTCGACCTGGACGTGGTTGTATAGACCACATTTTCACACTCAGACAGGTCCTGGAACATAGACACACATTTAGGCGTCCTACAATAGTTGTTTTCCTGGACCTTAAGGCGGCATTTGACTCTGTTGATCGTAAGGTTCTGTGGCAGTGTCTGTCATTGAAAGGTGTACCACAGAAGTACATTAACCTTATACAAGCTCTTTACTCGAACACCACTGGTCGAGTGAGAGCTTATGGCGAACTGTCACCGGAATTCTCTACATCAAGTGGTGTCCGTCAGGGATGTCCACTTTCTCCATTCTTGTTTAATTTTATCATAGACATGCTCCTAGACATAACATTATCCTCGTCTGAATTTTCAGGAGTAGACCTTCTACCAGGTGGCTCGCTTATTGACTTAGAATATGCCGATGACATTGTCCTACTTGGTGAAGACGCTGACAAAATGCAGAGTCTTCTGACTACCCTAAGCAACAATGCAAGCATGTTCGGGGTGCGGTTTTCCCCCTCGAAATGCAAAATGTTGCTTCAAGACTGGGTTGCATCGGCACCTGAACTAGTGATAGGGAGTGAAGTAGTCGAACGTGTAGACCGCTTCACTTATCTCGGGAGTCTCATCAGTGCCGATGGCCTGGTGACTGACGAAATCTCGGCACGGATACAGAAGGCTCGATTGGCTTTTGCCAACCTGCGTCACTTATGGCGTAGGCGAGATATCCGTTTGCTGACTAAAGGACGCGTGTACCGCGCAGTAGTTCGCTCCGTTTTACTTTATGGCTGTGAAACATGGCCAGTGAGAATAGAAGATATTCGTAGGTTATTGGTTTTCGATCATAGGTGTCTTCGAAGCATTGCTCGTATATCGTGGGACAACCGAGTGAGCAACGCTGTTATTAGGAATCGGGTGCTAGGTAAGAATGGCAGATCAATCGATGAAGTATTGAAACTTCACCAGTTGAGGTGGTTGGGACATGTGTTGCGTATGCCCAACCACCGGCTGCCTCGTCGAGCAATGTTTTGTAGTGTAGGAATAGGTTGGAAGAAAGTTAGGGGCGGCCAAACCAAAACATGGCAGAAATCCATGAAGTCATTGACTAGTGGACTGAGCCATGTCGGTAATTGTCGACTACCTGGTTGGGGTCCGCGAGATGATAATAATCGATGGTTAGATACCTTGAATGACATGGCCCAAAATCGTTCGCAATGGCGCCGGTGCATTTATTCTTTGTGTTCTCTCAAATGCTAATCTTCTGGATTCTTCAACACCTCTAGTTTCGACTCTCTTAACTTATCTCACTGAATCATACTTCTTGAATAGTATCTTCTAATCCTAACCTCTCCGATTATTTCTAATTCCCTTACTACCTCTTCTACAATTGGATTTGAATTGACGATTACTTCTCTGTGCTGATGTGGTATGGCAACATGAACTGATGTACTTCTGTACAAAGTTCTACGTTGCATTTGACTGACTGACTGACCATCAGTCAAGTTGCAAAGTAGTTTCTAGTGTAAGTGATTCGACCTCGCGTACATTATGTTGAGATAGTAGGTAGTTTGAAGTAATTGATAGGTGATATTGCTGGACCTAGGTTTTCAGCTAGTTAGCACTTCCCAACCAGAGATCCCCGCAATCGCCAGAGGGGCGGGTGCTCGTCGATGTATTTGAATTCGTGTCACAGCTTGAGATGATACTAACAAGATGTTGCTGCTAACGATTTTCTCGAGGACAAATATTTAAAACTAATCGACCACACAAAGGGCTACAGTATCTTGAAGGCTTGAGATACAGCTTACTGACGGGTCTCAACTAACACAAAACCCAGGTCCGAAGAACTCTGACAAGTACGTACCTAACATCAAATGTCAACAAGATAAGAATTACACTGAATACTACTGTCACTGACAGAGGAAGTAAGTCATGTTAATCGATGTAGACTTACCTGGTTGGGGTCCGCGAGACGATACTAACCGACGCTTAGAGACCTTGAATGACGGCTCAAAATCGTTTGCAATGGCATAGGTGCATCCACTCTTTGTGTTCTCTCAAAGTCTAAACTTCAGAATTCCCCATCACCTCTATCTTTCATTTTCTAAAGTCATCTCACTGAATTATACTTCTCGAATCATATCTTCGAGCCCTGATTTCTCCGATTACTGCTAATACTTCTACTATCTCCAATACTATGGGATTTGAACTGAAAATTGCGTCTCTGTGCTGATGCGGTATGGCAGCCTGAACTTATGTACGTAGGTACGAAGTTCTACGTTGTAGCTGACTGACGTATTACAGAAGTACTAATTATTTCCCCAACTAGTGAAGGCCCTAAGAGTAAATGGAAATTCGGGATGATGTTTGCCGATGATCCTCATACCTAATCAAATTTAATCATATGGGAGGAAAGAGCTTTCAAAGTTAAATCAAATATAGTGCACACTATCAATAGAATATCATATCATTCGTTGTTAAAATCATGTTTTAGCAAAAGAAATTATACAACATAGGAGTTAGGTAAACACTATCTGCAGTGTCAACATGAAAGCACGAAAATTAGATGGAAAAGTCAGCCAAACTTTGCGGAACAATAAACATTACCAGTATAATTCAAGTAAGAAATAAAAAAATACAAAGTAATTTTAACGTTGGGCCCATTGCAGTATCTCTAAGATAACATTAACCATATTATTACCAACAAGTGTTTAAACGCCTCTAAACGCGAGGCATAAAATGCTTCCAGATCTCATGTGACATATATAAACGGTTTTCTGTCAAAGTGAGCAGTAGTGTAGCTGTCGCTTCAGTCATTTCAGGGTGCGAGTTAACTAACTGCCTTACATTTTCATCCACAGATTTCGCTTGACATTCAGTGAGGTTACACTGTAATGTACCGGAGGCAATCATATTTCTATTAGAAAAACTACCTGGAGAACAGTTTCTGTGGTTTCTAACATCTGACAGAGATTCACAAATGAGATTTGGGTTTGTACTCATGTCCTGTTGTGTAGATGGTTTGATATCATCTTGCTTATCTCGGATTTCGCCTTTTACATCAGAGGCTAAACTAGCCTCTAATTCGTCGTCGGAATCTGATTTGTTTAAATCTAATTGGGCGTAATTTAAATCCATTTGACGACTGACATTTTCTGTATCCGCCTGGGAAATAACTTGCGCAGGTAACAGAGGACTATTCTCTTTAGAGCATAACCATCTATTAACACTACAGTCATCAAACGAATGTAAAAGCGTATCGTTTACCACGAATGTATCAGGATTCGCTAATCGAATGTTCTCATTAGAATCTGAGAGAAGTGAGGAAATTCCGAATCCGTAGTTCGTTGAAGTAGCAGTGTGGCAGCTAGCTGGACATTCATTGTTGTGACTTATGGCATTATCTATGGTAGATGTTAGAGAAAAGTTTCTTGGCGGTATAGGTGGCGGTCTCATAGATAAAGAATCCGGTGTGCAAATTTTTCGGCTACATGAAGGTAAATCCGAAGGGTCGTTAGCTAGTTCTTGAAAAAACGCTGTTTGATGATAAATTACTACGGAATCACTGGGTTGGGAACTTAGTTTTCCAGAGTTGCTTGACGGTTTGTAAGGATCAACAATAATATCTTCAGTGCCTTTTATTACCAAGCGGCAAAATGGGCAAGCTAGACCATTGCCTGTGGATTGACAATTAAGTAAGCAGTTCTTACAAATCAAATGACCACAGGGTTCGAGTCGCGTATCTTTATTATTCTCATCGCATATCTTACATAATTCAAAGGTTGAACCCATTTCACAATAAAGCTGATACTGTTCCTTTGTTACTTGCAAGTGAACCTGCAGGAGATTATGTGTCAAGTGATAAAGCAATGTAGTAGGACTGGGTTTACCGTTTGGGTACAAATAAAATCCTTCTCTTTCTCCATCAACTAACGCCTGCGTCAAGGATTTATTTTGTATAATAGTTTGTACGATTTTTAGTTCTTGTGTAATGTATCCAATAGCCCACTGACCTAGTTTAGTACATGATAGTCGAAATATGTATGTTCCCGGACCAGGGTGAGTGCAGTAACGTTTCAGAACACATTTAACTTGATCATATGTCATGAACGCCATGTAACCTGGATGGAGGATAGCTAATGCCTTCCAGGTCTCCAGTATATTGTTCCACGGTTGAAACAATCTGGTAAATACATCGAACTCGAAGATAGATACGTAATCATTACAAGTTATGTCTATAGTAGTTTGGAGAGCCAACAGCTGAGTATCAGAATCTATGCTGAATGTTTGAATTAACGAATCCTTGAATAATTGCCAAGAAACAACTACACTATCCCCAAAATTACTCGACCACCATTGAGCTGCATTAGGCTTCGTTATACGAAAACTCAACGAATCGAAAGTATTATGTGGAAAAAGGGCTTCCAAATCGTTAAGCAGATGTGAATATACTAGTGATAACTTAATCAGACGAAACCGTGCATCCGAGTTGATGTCGAAGATTTTCTCTTTGGAATTTTTGAAAAGATTAATAGTTTGCTTGCACTTATCGATCAACGTCGAAATGTATATTTGAAAGTATTCTATTTTAGAAAGTGCATCATAGTTTTCTTCGTAGTTTGCAGTTATTCTTTGTAGCTTTTCGTATATATCTGGAATTGTATCCAAAATATAAGGTGGACTAGGTTTCAAGTTCAATTTCGGTTGTTGGCAAAGACGCACAACTTTATCAAGATATTTATAACAGAAGTTAACACATTTTTTATCAATCATTACAAGTCCTCACAGAAAGTTTACCCGAGATTGTGACCGACAGCATAAGTACCCTAAAAAATATATCGTAAAAACTATTGTGTAACAGAATAAAAAGTTTAATAATAAGGGCAAAATGAATGAGAACGTAACATACAGGATGGTGAACATAAAGCGGTGGTTAGTATTGTACCACGACAGATTCACTAACCAACATTTATAATTTAGGGAAATAAAAGAATCCGTATTAGTATCAGCATTATGAACATACCAACAAACCCGGTATTGAAGAGGATTACTACTTTAAAATTTCTGTCTTTTAGTAATATTTACTGAACGTTAAGCTTTTATCATGAAGAATACTGTGAACTCATATGACATAGAAAGTTGACTGCAGTGTCGGCTACACCACAGTTTTCTGGATAATAGTGAAAATATGGTTTGTGTTAACTGTATGTGTTCCTCTTCTCTTAGCTAGTCCCTTCTCTTCAAACATTGTCTCTTTGTTTTGGACGAGGCAATTCTTAGTGCCAAATAGAATTCATTCTTGTCCGCTCGCTACAATGAAGTAGTATCGTTACGAAATTCTGTAAGATGTTATGATAAATAAATAATAGGTGTGATTTTCCGTAAAGGAAAAATGCATAGTTAAGAAATAATATAAAGGTCAAGAGCTTAGCTATCGAATCAAAGGGAGAATCCATTAAATCGTATACAAAGCAGTCTGGCAATAGTGGTCTAATCAAGCATCACAAAACAGTTCCATCCATTACAATGACGACTACATGGTCCACAGGAAATAAGCAACGATTAGAAGTCAAATTACTTACTAATAAAAAGTACTATAACTAGATTTTGATCAGTCAGTCAGCTGTAACGTAGAACTTCGTACGTACGTACATCAGTTCACGTTGCCATACCACATGAGCACAGAGACACAAATGTCAGATCAAATCCCATAGTGATAAAGATAGTAGAGGTATTAATGGTAATGAAGAAGATTAGGGTTCGAAGATATTATTCAAGAAGTATAATTTAGTGAGATAAGGTTACAAAGACAAAGGTAGAGGTGCTGACGAATCCAGATTAGGATTTGACAGAACACAACGAATGGATGCACTTGCGCCATCGCAAACGATTTTGAGCCATGTCGTTCAAGGTCTCTAACCATTGGTGACTTTCGTCTCGCGGACTTCAACAGGGAGCCGACATCTACATACATGACTCAGTCGACTTGTTAGTGACTTCGTGGATTTCTGCCATGTTTTGGTCAGGCCAGACCCTAGCTTTACTTTAACCTACTCCTACGCCACAAAACATAGCTCGACGAGGCAGTCGGTGGTTAGGCATTCGTAACACATGTCCCAACCACCTCAACTGATGAAGTTTCACCATTTCATCTATTGATCTGCCATCCTTACCTAGTACTCGTTTCCTAACGACAGCATTGCTTACTCGGTTGTCCCACAATATACACGAGCAATGCTTCGGAGACATCTATGATCGAATACTAGTAACTTGCGAATATCTTCTACTCTTACCGGCCATGTTTCGCATCCATGTAGGAGAACGGAGCGAACTGCTGCACAATACACCCGTCCTTTTGTTAGCCAACGGATATCTCGCCTACGCCATAAACAGCGTAAATTGGCGAAAGCAAATAGAGCTTTCTGTATCCGAGCTGAGATTTCGTCAGTCACCAGGCCATCAGCACTGATGAGACTCCCCAGATAAGTGAAGCGATCAACACGCTCGACTACTACACTCCCTATCACTAGTTCAGGTGCCGACGCAACCCAGTCTTGAAGCAACATTTTGCATTTCGAGGGGGAAAACCGCAACGCGAACATGCTGGCATTGTTGCTCTGCAATTTGTCAGCAACAACTGTCTACTATTGTCAATCACTGCTGCCTTTTCCATTATTCTTGCTTCCGCTACCCAAGTGTTTGCGATAATTGCGTAGGCTTTTTATCAGCCTGAGCCTAAGCTGAATTCGTTCTTCATCATGTTCAGAACCAAGTAGGATGAGTTTCCGAGCAACTATCAGCTCCGTAGATCGTGCTGAGATCCATACCTTCTTCTTAGCCATATGGTTTACCTCACAAGCAGATATCACTGCTATTCCCACAGCTTTTTTGATATGATTCTAAGCTGCCCCATGGTGGACATCAGCTACTACATGGCCGCCTAGCAGTTTTTCTATTTGTTCCTGAAATAGATTATTAGCTTTGCTATCTTTTGGTAGAACCCTAAGAGGTTTCCTTGCCATATCATTCCTACGTTCAGTAAGCCTCAAACAAATACGCGGTTATTTATCGAGTCCTCACTCTTCTGTTCAGTCGGAGAATTGTGAGACTAAAAACAGCTAATCAAGGTCTGAGGGCAAAGTGGTACTGCTGACTGTAGAGGGGTGTGACAGCAGTCAGGTTTTCCCCTCGGTCAACAAGCATTCGCAGTGATTCTGCCTTCTCACAAGGAAGGAAGGGGTTAGGAATGGCGAACCTAAAAATTTCACACCTCACCTTACCTCACTGATTTCCGTCGTCGGCAGTAAGGCATTTTAAACAAGAGCGAAGCCAATGCTTTGAAAAACTCTCATAAAAAGGCCATGCGTGACCGGCCTGAAGCAGTTGTCGCTTGAGCTCTACGGTCACGCTCCCAGGTGGTTAAGACCAACACTAATCTACTTTCCTTTTCAGGTAGGCAACAGTAGACAGTTGTTCCGACTTATCAAGGAAACCGGTATTAGGAACCCAAATGTGAGAGAGTATTTCGGAAAAGGATGGGATTATTATTCATTCTCAATCCAGGAGATTGGATCGATGTGCAGAACACTTTAAGAATCAGTTCAGCTGGCCTTCAGCCACACTTCACCTACCCACGATCTCCAGTCATCCTGAATGGCAAATCGATATAAGTCCTCCGAGTCTTCATGAAGTTGAAAAAGCTATAGGAAATCTGAAGCGAGGGAGAGCAGCGATCCTGATGGATTGACCCCTAAGACTTTAAAGGATGGTGGTTCATTTTTAGCAGTTAGATTGACCGAGATGTTAAATGACTGGTCTCAATCACTGATTGTCCCGGTCTACAAGAAAAGACAAAAGTCCCCTTGTAACAATCACAGAGTAATCAGCCTAACTAACATAGTGTCGAAAATATTGACCTCAATAATACTTCGACGCTTAACGGAAGCTCGTGAAGAGCAGACTAGAGGAAACCAGGCTGGTTTTTGACCTGGACGTGGATGTGTAGACCAAATATTCACACTACGTCAGGTCCTAGAACAAAGACACACTTCCATACGTCTCACAATAGTAGTATTTCTTGACCTTAAGGCGGCACTCGACTCTGTGGATCGTGAGGTTCCTTGGCAGTGTCTGCCATTAAAAGGTGTACCTTATACTGGTCGATAGAGAGCTTATGGCTAACTGTCAACGGAATTGGTTACTACAAGTGGTGTCCGTCAGGGATGTCCACTATCTCCATTCTGGTTTAATTCTGTCATAGACTTACTTTTAGAGATAACATTATCTTCGTCTGAATTTCCAGTAGATTCACTAGTTGACTAAGAATATACCGATAACATAGTTCTATTCGATGAAGACGCTGACGAAATGCAGTTTTCTGACTACCCTAAGCAACATGACATAGTTCTATGTTTTGCTATGTAGAAACAGATGGGAAGAAAGCTATGGGCGGCCAAACCATAACACGGCAGAAATCCATGAAGTCACTGACAAGTGGACTGAGTCATGTCGGTAATTGTCGACTACCTGGTTGGGGTCCGCGAGATGATAATAATCGATGGTTAGATACCTTGAATGACATGGCCCAAAATCGTTCGCAATGGCGCCGGTGCATTTATTCTTTGTGTTCTCTCAAATGCTAATCTTCTGGATTCTTCAACACCTCTAGTTTCGACTCTCTAAACTTTTCTCACTGAATCATACTTCTTGAATAGTATCTTCTAATCCTAACCTCTCCGATTACTTCTAATACCTTTACTACCTCTTTTACTATTGGATTTGAATTGACAATTGTATCTCTGTGCTGATGTGGTATGGCGACATGAACTGATGTACTTACGTACGAAGTTCTACGTTGCATCTGACTGACTGACTGCAAATAGTGAGCACACAGAGTAAATCTTGAAGCTATGCAAACTTATTATTTAATCAGGCCTAGTGGTACAAAATAACGCCACAAAAATCATTTATTTTAGTGTGGGCTGGAGCGATATTCGGGTGACTAAACTGGAAATATATGTATGCATTTACGTAAGGTCAACTAGACTAGATGTGTACACATCAAAACTTCTGCTTCGACTCTTACGTGCAGTCAGACGACAGACAAATCCAACTGGTCAGTTTTTAGCTTCTGCAACTTGAAAAAACTTGGTGTCACTCTGCAAAACACTATAGAAGCACCCTAAAGCTTGTCTGTCGTTGTAAGTCAAATAAAAGGGCTTGTAAGGAACAATGAGTTCCAGCCAACAGGCAATAGTTCCTCCAGTATGAGTCTGGACTTGACTTTTTTAACACCCGGAATTTTCTCAACTTTTAGGGCTTTCCGCTCAAATTAATAAGTTTCCGCGGGAAAATTCTGAGTTTTAGTCACATTTCCATAAAATCTACTACTGAAGCTCCCCAAAAATCAATCAAACTTCTCCCAAAGTTGAGGGATCGATACGAGAGAACTTCGGTTGCCGAATCCCCTGTAATCCTCCAAAGTTCATATTTATTTCCTCTTTTTCTCCTTACTTGGGTCTCCTAAAGTTCTAAGGACCTTAACTGAAAAGGACTCAGAAAGACACTCCACATTTTTCACCGTCAGAAAAGCTACTGCATCTAAGCGCTTGTATACGGATTTTACTTTGAGCAGTAATTCATTGCAATGTTTTTGCTTTCAGCCATTTTCACTGAATGATAGCGAGATGTTTTATGTTCGTTGTTAGCATTTAGAACAGTTTAAAATATGAAACGATTCAACGAATTATGAATTTACCCTGTTTATATATGAGAAGCCCTAGGACAACAGTATTACGCTTACGGGCTTCCAATGTCTGTTAAGTAACAAGGTAGCGCAGCTCTTAAAATACGCACTCTATCCTCTAGAATGTTCATTACACAGTCCATCACCCAATAAAGGGGCCCAGAAGTTTGTAGTCGGTAGAGGAGATGCCTTCGAAGCGATTTCACTCTTCTTGTAATATCGCATTATCACTCATACAGGAAGGAACTCAGGTTATCGTGCATCAATACCTACAAAAGTTCACTCTCCTTGGGGATTCTGGATTCCCGCGATTGCTTGTCGCTTTAAGAAATGCATATCCAATTCAGCGAATGACATTTTTAGACCTACAACTACCTGCTTTTTTGGATGATGACCGCCTAATTTCAAGTTCTGACATTGCATTTGATTCGCAGAAATTGGATCTTGTTCTCCGAATACTTCAAGAGATGGCTATAAAGCTTGCACACTTATATATCATATTCAGACTTATTCTTTCAACGTTTAGGTGTATACTGTTAACCTTTAATGTATTTACTTGTGAGAGATTATAACAGAGACGAATTCACCATGTGTGATGTTGCTAAACCGTTGTTTTATTTCTATTTCAGGGCGATCAAACGTAAGCGGTTTGGAAGCTGAAGAACAAGCCCTGATCTCTTTGAACTTACAGAATGACTCATAAGACTTTGGCACACTACCTACGCTTTTTCTGTAGAAACCCCGCGTATTTTGATTTGTAAGTAAAAGTCCCGCGTCTCAACTTCGTGTTCTCTATTGGCCTGAAGTGTTAAGTGTTGCAATCTTAGATCTGATCCGCTGTTCGGTGACTGCTGATAGCACGTCACAAAATGTTGTGGCTGGTTACCCGGCTCTTTTAAGGCCTATTACAATCGAACAAATATGAACCTTACGCACCGAAAGACGCGTCGTTCGAAAGATTCTTAATCCATGGTCGATATTTAGATATTCCCTGCAGTAAGAGACCACATCTTTGGAACAACAATATACTGACACGCTGAAGCACTAATTGCCGTACAAAATTACTGACTCATTGAACTATTGAGTTTTATCAAGCTGAATTAATATGCCCACATTTTGACTTATGGTGAAGGCCATCTGTGAAGCGAGGATTTCATCAGCGAACATGTAGCTACTCAATACGCTGCACGACACTAATCTCACAGTGGATGGCCTAGAGTACACTAGTCCCTCATAAATTAATTAAAGCTTTGAATTACTTGCTTATCTCGTATTCTCCATCAATTAGATTATAAATGACAGTTTACCTCGGTATACGTTTTCTGGACAAACATTGTCGCTACAGGTCCCCTACTTAGTGTAGATTCATTGGAAATTAAGATAGCCTCGAGGTGAAGTTTTATTCTCAGCACAACGAATTTAACAGACGGTACTGCTAGGGGGTCTTTACTTTCAGACACACGGACAGAAATCGTATAGGTGTGTAGCAACTTTATGGACACAGTAACTCTTGTACGTTAGACAAGCATTCCAAACTAGTTTTCTGGGTGACTATCAAGATATGAACACTTGCGTTGACGGCGTATGCTCAATGTTTGTGATTACTGCCTGAAATCTAATGTATGCATGAAAAACTATTATTGTTTCGACCAGACGCTTGCTTCAACCAAGCTCATCATAAGGTCAGCTCGTCACCAATTTAAAAGACAACCTAACTCGTGAACTGTGTGAAGTCCACAATCAACACCTTTTAATGGACAGAGCTACTAGAATGTCGGTACGCTATTTCGCCGAACTACGAATGGTAAAATCACCACCCCCCCTCCGTCTACTATCTGAAACTCTGGACGCCAGTTCAGATTTGGACTTCCAGCATTCTTACTGTGCCTCTATGTGCCGCACGACTCCGAACGGCCACTTACTATCCGCAAGTTAACGGCAAGTCACATGTTTTTCGGCGAATGCTTTTAACGGAGTCTATCGTGCGTTTTATTACCTATCTAAAACTGTCAAGCATCTAAATGACCGACCCTCAATGATCAACATTCAGCTAGCTGGGAACGGCTTGGTGGCAACTTCATTTTATCTTTTATTAATGGCTATTCCATCTACGGATATCCAATCGACCCACATACCAAATACATAATGACCACAGCATACGAAGCAGCGCAGGCTCACCTGAACGGAAAAACTAGCTAACTCGAGAACACCGAATCATAACTAACGAAACTTAATGAAACTATCCAACTGTATAATGACAACCCTTCGGAGCTCTAGTTTATCTAAATTTAGACGAAGCATTGATCTTGATGCACTTGAAATAAATTGGATGAGAACATAGGAGAAACTGATAACGATATTTCACATTACCAAAGCTCGCAGTCCTAACACTAGGTAAGTTTAGACACAGTTACTTAACTTGGATTCATAGTTGTCACAATCAAACACTATTTTGTAACCGTCGTAACCGATGAAACAATATATATATTAAGAATCACAACTTTATGGAGTGTTTACTTCGTCTAAACAGCATGATAGTTTTGATTAAAGGGAGCAACACGAAGTTTAAAACCGTCTCAATATTGAAAAGACACGTGATTGGTAAAACAATTAAAGAAATCAAGTTTTTGGCATGTGATTACATATGGAGTAACATTGTGAGGCAACTTCTAAAAGTTTAGAATACTAAGTACTGTTATTACAAGAAGTATACAATTATGAAGATTACAAAGTAAATGGTACAGTCATGTAAAAAAGAATAAAGTATAACAAAACGCTTAATTAAATACAAAGTCGAGAGAAATACAACAGTATGTGGTGTGCGAATGTTTTTCCCTTATTCTACTACCTATATTTAGTAGAGATGATAACTCCGAACCAGCTACCGGTTGGGAGAAAATACCCTAATCCCTGATTCCCTTACATTTTTTTATTAACCCCTAAGAAAGGCCTTAATTATTTATCTACTTGATTATTAGAACCCTTAATTGCCCTATTCCAACTAAACCTAATTATCCCCGAGTCATAGCCCTATCTGAACACCCAAACAAGAATTCCCAGAAGTGAAAAGTGAAGAATTATAAGACAAAAAGGAAGATAAGTAGACTTGAAGTTAAAAATAAGGTAGTTTAGTAAGGAAAACTCTAGAAATACCTCAAAATAAAAGATAAAATATGTTGTGTCCAAACATACCTTGACATACCAAAAACATGTCAAATGTCAAAAAAAAACTCAGAAAAACATGTGCAAATGAAAAACGAAGACAATAGAGAATTGACAGCGATATTCCCAATGGATGGCGATATACACGGCAGTGATTAAATTAACTGTGAAACATACAAACTGGGAAATAGCTGGATCGACATCTGTTCTCATTTTACCTAGAAAAATAAATGCATATTATGATAACCAAACGGAAAGGCATATCAAAATACTGTAAACATACCACTAATTTTTAAATAACATTATAATTATTTCCTTGCATTAGTTTAGAACGCCACGGAGGAGATCTCTGGTACTTTGAATAATATATTGAGGAAGTGCTTTAAAACGGTGGTCGATATTTCATAATGCCACCAACTGATAAATAGTTCAAAAAAAACAAATTGATAGTAGCTAAGAAATGAATTGTAAACGAAAGTAAGACAGCTGGTAGAAAAATGACTTTTGCCTGTTAGTACAGTGGCATAACTGTATGTAAAGACCACTCTCAGAATAAACATATTTAACATAGAAACAAACTGACTATAGTCATATCACTCACACAAAATAAACGACGTTACTTATAAATTACTGTACAATATTATGAAGGTCAAATAATACGTTTGCTTTTTTTCCAAACGGTCACGTAGTTTGATAACTAAGCAAAAAAGTTTCTTCAGTAGGGGATAAAGTACAATAGACAACTCAAATTTTTTTCACATTTTAATGATTGTAGTAAGTCTATGACAACAGATGGCATTGATGCTTGATAATACTGCGCAGGACTGCAAAGAAAACCTGATTCTCAGTAAAGGAAAATGATAGACGTCATGACCTGCTAACACGAATTTAAGATTAATAAAATGTACATTATACAGTTTTAACAAACAAGATATTACTAACCACATTATACGAATTAATTAACTTGGTCGATCAAAACACTAGATGCCAGTTGTAGGACAGCTAACCATACTCGAGGAAAAAACGCGAAGGCCAATTGTAAAAACATTGAATCGATGTGAAAATGGGTAGGCGCGAACAAAAATTAGGATCAAAACATGCATTACTCAAAAACCGAAAATCTCAAAGGTTGTACTGAAGAGATAAGCGTTCACGAAGCATTGGAGGACACTGACTCCAGAACTTACACCAGTCATCTTCGCCAACTTGCGTTTTGAATCCGTGTAAAATCTGATTGTAAAATAGTGTATACAGAACATGAGAATAATTTCCATTCATCACATATATAAAACAATCTGACGATAACGAAGACCATTATGTATACTTTTATGATTATTATCGTTAATCGTTTACTGAATAAAATTTAGCTTCCCAAAAGTGACGACCGGATTGAAAAGTATATCTGATATCAACATAGATTTTTTTGAATCTGTACTGTAAAACATCAGTGATGGTAAGGGTGATTTACAATTTATTACAAATTTTAGCTACTTTAGACTACCCTAAGGTCCTCTCTCACAATCTTCACTACCAATTAACAAACTAATTTCATCTATATACTACTCATTCCTGAAATTTTATTCATATTAGAATTAGAATTTTATCCTTATTACCCTTATTACTCTCCACATTGCAACGAACTGATCTCCGGTCTGGTAATGTGACGGCTGCTAGTATCCAGAAACCCTACTGCCCTGAAATAAACGTTTTCATTCGAATCCCGAGACATACAAACTCACAACCAACTGCCAACTGAGTAGAATTAGACAGTCGAGTGGCTAGACCTCCATCCATTGGACATTATCGAACACCTGGAACCGTACCGAAAGAACAAGAATCCGGCGCGAAGAAATCAACTGGTTTACACTAGCTCGTGAAAAAGCTATTGGATATTGGAAGAACATTCGCAAAAACTGAGGACACGCCAACTTGAAAGTGATTGCCAAATTCACTAGAACTAGCACAAATGAATGAATGGAATATACTAAATAGATGATATCCAATTAAGTAAACTGCTCGTTAAAGGTATTAGATATCGTTACCGAATATGGAGTGAGTGTTTGTTTGAATCAATCAGTACTTGTCATCCTAATATCGCAGCATTTTAAGTTTGTTTCGGCATGTCGCTTAGGCCGGACCGGAGTGTAGGTAATGTAATAAATCTTGCCAATCAACTAGCATCGTCTGTTGGGATCAGTACACTGGAAAGCATATCTGAAATCAACATAGATTTTTTTGAATCTATACTGGAAAACATCAGTGACTTCAAAAGTGATGGTAAGGGTGATTTACTATTTATTTATTACGAATTTTAGCTACTTTAGACTACAAAACTCGATGGAACTATCTGTTGCAATCACTTTCCAGCCTAATAGGCATTCCTCTTGAGTATATATCCATCAGATATTTACGCAGATTCGATCTCAATGTTCTGCACAGTCTTCTTGAAATAATTGACCTATTGACACAAAACATTCTTGTTCAGAAAAACGCTTTTCGAACGTTAAAACAAGCACATAATAAAAGAACGTAAGTTTGGGTGAATAAGAAATACATATTTTAAAAAGTCATAAATTTAACCACTTGAGGTCATTTACTGATTGTAGAAATTCCCTATCAGAATACAGGACAGCTTACTTGTTGACATTGGTTAACTAGTTTATTAAGTAACCATTTGAAACTACGGTAGGTCCTCAAAAGTGTTTACCAGTAGTTTCCCTGACAAGAATTTTTGATTGTTAGTTACTTGATGGAAAATGCATAAAGAACATATTAGTAATCTTTTCACCATTTGAAATAGTAGATTTTAGTAAAAAGGATCGAAGTCTATGTGCTCATATTTATGAACTGCCCTTATTAAAATACCTGCAAGATTCGAATTTCGATTACGTTTACAAGTTTTCATGGCTTTAATCAATTTTATTATAACTTTACAGGACACTTAACTACGTTCGCTATCATATGGATAGTTAGATACATATCGAACTTAGACGAATCAAGTAAAGATGAGCTATAAAAAATCTTGAAAGAGGATATCAACAAAGATGGCAGGACTAATAGTGAGTTATATTGAGAAAGCGATGTAGTCGACCTTAATGTGTTGTGCCTGAAGGGATCAATAATTTTGTAAAACTAATTCCAACTGTTATTCTTGTTTGGTTATGGTAGAGTGTTTGTTAACTCAAATTGATGGGTTTCTTGGATGAATTCCTGACTCCCAGTCCCACTTAAGTCTGCAAGTTATCAGTGTTAATTTTAATAGATCTGTAGTGTGTGTACTCTTATGTCGAACCCACAAGGTTTGTCTTAGCCTTTGGACAATTTAATCAATCCATCCCTCTCGAGTTACTCACACGTTTTCCGACCTTGCCAACTATTCGCATTTATCTTGGTTGTTTTTATTTGAGTGTGTGCTCTGCTTTGCTTATCGCATGTCTGACTTATTATTGTATGACTATGAATGCTTAGTCATGCCTCATTACAATGAGTTGGCTCACTCACCTCCTCCACTTCAATTCGCTTTGCATTAACGCTTTATATTCTCATGTCTGTCTGCACGAACGATTGCCTTAGATAAACTCATCCAACCGAATCCGTAGTTAGCTTCTAGTTACCTCCGTCGCACAAACGGGGTACGCCTAAGTGTGATGTTCGGGAACTGAAGGGGAGATATATTTCACAGCATAAATAAAGGAGTAGTATCATGGGCTACTAAAGTGGTAAGCTCTACATAAAATCTAACACAGTCCACTAAAGATCGTGCAGCGACATTTAAACAAAACCCTTGATACTCAGATATGTTTTGTTTACACATACTATTACAGAAACTAGGAGTGACAAGCGTTCAAGAGGTTTTATTTGTAACGCTCGGCAATGCACTTGGAAAGCCTATCATCCAGTCAGTTACGACGTAGAACTTCTTACATAGGTACATCAGTTTAAGTTGTCATGCCACATTAGCACAGAAACGCAATTGTCAATTCAAATCCCATAGTGCTAGAGTCAGTAGATGTATTAGTGATAATGGAGAAGATCGGGGTTTGAAGATATTATTTAAGAAGTATAATCTGGTCAAGTCAACTTAAAAAGAGCAAGATAAAGGTGATGAGTTACCTAAAAGATTGGGACTTGAGAGAATAGATGCACCTACGCCAGTGCAAACTGTTTTGTGCCATATCATGCATGGTCTCTCTAACCATCAATTCCTGTCATCCCGCAGACTCCAACCAGGTAGTCTACACCTATCAACATAACTCAGTCCTGTTGTCAACTCCTTCTGGAGCCCTTCTGTGTGTTAGGATATTCATTCAATATCCTAAGAGAATTATTGGTTTATTCCTATTGGTCAATTCCTACTGGTCAATTTTATGGTCGTCCTAGATATCAATGTTCCGTGCTCCAATGTTGTTTCTTATTGATTATTCTGACTATCACTGTCACTTCAAGTGTTGCCTCCTATTGGTCGTCTTAACTGTCAATGTCACAGACTTCGAACCTGTTTCCTATTCGACCAAAATGTTTAAATACGCATTATCTGTAACATTTTATGACCAGGACCAGGACCCGGTCCCGGATCCCTAGTCCGGGATCCTGATTCTCTTCTGGACTCGGACCTAGTGCTTTCTGGATGCTTTTAGAATACAGGGTTTGAAGATATTATTCAAAAAGTATATTCCAATGAAACAAATTTAGAAAAAGAGAAATAATGGTGATGAATAGTCGCTCAGATTACTACTGGTTGTTAGGCTTCGCAAGAAATATTCTTTCCAGATGTGGGTAGCTGTGAAGTAAAAATCCTTCTTTATACCGCTAACATCACCTGAGATAACCTCGTAATAAATAAACTATTCTGGCTTTCGTTAAGTTTAGCAGTTATTAGATGCTAAAATGATAAACCATTTGCTTTGAATCTCAAACACTTAACTCATTGATAGCAAACACGTTGACAAACTGAAATATATGTTGTATACAGAGTGATTAATTGATTTAAAATTTGGGATGTTGTATCTAGACACTGATTATTTTATGGACTTCAACACGAAATTCTGCACCACACGACGAAGTTCCAGTTAACAATCAATAACTTGAAACCATCTCGTTTAATTATGTTTCTCGCTCATTTGTACATTAGGCAAAAAGTCATACGAACTGTAATGCGTAAAAAGTCTCAAACAAGTCTATTTGGTTAGGTTCATTATTTATTTACGGAAAGCTTATTGCTATTTGTTGAACCACTTATTTACGTTCCACCTTAGAGGCAATGTATATTTTAAACATTTTTGAAGTTACTTTGAAAGTTTTTTTTAGTTGATATTAGCTTTTTAATTAGTAGTGGAAGTAAATGCGATAAAGTGCAATAAACACTAGTTAGTTTGTAGAGTAATAAACATACATTGATATAAAGAGTAAACCTAGACTTAAGTTTTAAAACAGACCACGAAGAGATATTTAAAGTAACTAACGATGCGACATACATTAGGTGTTGGAAAGATACACTTACATCATTAAATCTATTTTTTAAATCGTCTTTGGGATTATTCCAAGAAGCTACAGCGTCACAAAAGAAAATGAAGTCATTCAAGACACCAGCAGGATTGAGTGTAATTAGATTACAAATACCACGAAATGCACTGTCCTTCTCTTCATTGTCCCTTATATTGCGCAAATATAAACACCTGAAGAGCAAACAGAAAATCGACTGGGTATGTAGCTAAATTAAGTAATAACATAGAACTATGTATATGCATATATAATCAAGAAGTTATTTAAGGCTTTTAACTGTTGGATAAAACAATGTGCAAACTCAAATTACTATTTTACATCATCAGAGTTCTAAATAATATGAGAAAAGAATCAACACTTGAGAAACTTCTGTAATTTAATGCTCTCAACTTCACACACATACCTAAAAAGTATTTTTAGAATAAAACAGATTGGTATTACTTTAAAATTTCTTAATTAGCTGAAAACAAATTAGCAGACTGATTGAATCGACCATTAATAAAGATGCGTGAAAATTAAATTAGTAAACATCTTGAAATCAGATATTAGGATATGAATGTACACAGATTACAATAATATTTATTGCAGATAAGATTAAAATTTAAGAACCGGCAAATTCAGGGTTGTTACATGTTTTCCGAAATGATAAGGAAGAAATTAGGTATAAAATCCAAGGTTACGTGTAAAGGGAGATTTTTAAAGAACCAATATATTTTTCAATAACAAGGATTATGGAGTGATATTGGAGGTTAATACATGGGATGACAAGTTTAAAAAAATAAGTAATTAACATCTGGGGCAAAATGTAACATATTTTTCAACGTCCTCATAGACTTATCATATCTTCAAACTTCGGTTGCTAAATGATCACTGACTACATTCAGAGAAACTCATATAGCAAACACAAAAAAACTTGAAGGGGCATTGCAACTTGATAATGATCGAATCGAGACATTGACAACTGGATTTTTCGAACTCGATAAACAAGACATCGGCATCACACTTTAGTCACATTAATTGTGAACACCATTTTATCAGTGCCAGAAATATAAAATCCTGATAATCACAAACAAGTTGCAAGCGCACATCTCGTGTTTTCAACATATCCATTTTTAATCGATGCTAATGGATGAGTAGACAATAAACTGTGGGCTCTTCCCAAAAATGTTAAACAAACCATTGTTTTTGGCAATAGACCCTCCTGTTGTTCCGGTCATTTGAAATATATTTTTTTTAATATTATCTTTGTTTTAGTTTCAGACAAGTCGAGTGAAGTGCAGCAACTCATGATTACCAGACAGCAGAGGAATTAACAGACAGATGAATCTAACTCATTTATACAACAATTTGGAATCACTTGTAAACATTACACGCAAAATCGTGTTACATATACAAATGCGAATTATGTAATAAAACGTTCTACTGACGCCAGTAGACTTTAAAGCATTCAGTGAGTATATTATGTATCCGTCAAACGCCCATTTGATACTCTAGGTCATGCAGAAATCTTTTACAAGCAAGACGACGAACTAGTTCTGTATTAGCAACGAATCTGAGTCCGATAAATTACCGTTAAAATCATGCTAAATCGAAAGTTCTTCACTTACAGCACGGTCATAGAAGTATACAGCTAGAAAATACATATTAAGTATATCCAATAAGTACGTACACTGACGTCATAAAAAATTTTCTTCATGATATTTAGAGTACATCCACCTAACCCTCTTTAAAATACTTGCTATTTCTGTTGACATTTTTGTCTAAGCTGTTTTCATGACTTCTCTCTGAAATGCTTATTTGCATATTTAAACAAACAAATCTCAATATTTTATTATCTTTAAGATTCACCGAAAATTCGATGCTGAATCATTAATTTACTTGTCAACAATCTCCATAGTTAACAAGAGAAAGATTAATTAAAAACCATCCTTGTGGGATCTTGAGGAATTAACGTTATATCAAAAAACTAACAACTGTAGTCTATCAGTTTGTGTATTTATTTGCTGGGAAGACCACATGGATGTAGCTACAAAAGACAAGATTTATGAAATTAAATTTAGAGGATTCTCCTACAAAATATTAACAACCACGACATATTTGTATTTGCTTCTACGCTAAGAACAGTTAAAAACATTAATCCTCAAAGATAAATTTAGACGTGAAAGCACTGCAACAACACAACAAGATCACATAAGGTGACATTTTAATACATTTTTTTTGGTAACCAAACGAGGAGAAATAAGACAGAAAACCAAACGATGGAGTATAGAGATGGTAAAGAAAATTTGTAGATCAGGTGGATGATCGTGGTGAGGTTTCGCTCCCCCAGCTGGATGTTTTAGCTGTGAAACTATCACTGATCTTCTGAACAACATCAACACAAACTACAGAGAGAAGTGAAGTATTCGAATTTCTCCACGAATGACTCGCAGCTTGTTTTGTTGACCTCGATCTTGATTGGCTGCTGTTGACCATAAACCAGTCGTTGTCTGCACCTTTATTTTGATTCTGTCACCCTTTAATCTGTTTGTTTATGATTTTTCCGAGTGGTTGATAAATAGGGTCAATATCGATGTGTTTGTTGATTGCTGATTAACTTGAGTACCAAGCTTTTAAGAATTTTCCAGCGTTCTTTGTACTCCCTCTATCCAGTATTTTAATGTTGTTTCCATCGCCGCGGAGTTTGTGCTGCTGATGGTGTTCAAAAGAACAATGAGCCTCACAACCAAAATATCCAGCTCAGAGAAAATAACTACACCACAATGAAGTAAACATCTTGTTCAGAAATTACAGCTAATGAACTTCAAAACTTCAACAGAATCAACCTTTTTCAGCACTATTATAAATAGGCAGCGCAATCTGTAACTCAATTATACATTTTATTACTTACCACTGACGAATAAACGTGCATAGGTGAGGAGCCAATTCACCAGGACAAACAAAACCAAGACGCCCGATAGTTATCGCTATACATGAAGAAAATGAAATAAAATTTAATTCTATTGGCGTAGGGAGTTTACTTAAATTTCGGCATTCAGTTCTTTCCTTTACAGGATGCTATTATTCACATAACTGATTTATAAGAGTGAAAACTGTTAAGTCCGCACATATTAGCGAGGGTCAGTTCGTGGTGTAACTTACATTTGAAACTCTACATATATTTAACACAAGTAATATTAGTAAGAATGCAAAATATGGGATAGAAATTGATCTTGATACAAAAGTATGCCGGCCGAAATAACTATACTCATAAAAGTAATGAAAAGGATAACCGCAAGATAAATTATTAAGAGGGGTAGAAAGCATTGAACTGTCCATAGGTCAATCTTGAATGCCCCGACAATAGCTGCCACCTTCAGGTGGTGGTCGGACTGAACTTCTCTCGTATCGATCCCTCAACTTTGGGAGAAGTTTGATTGATTTTTGGGGAGCTTCAGTAGTAGATTTTATGGAAATGTGACTAAAACTCAGAATTTTCCCGCGGAAACTTATTAATTTGAGCGGAAAGCCCTAAAAGTTGAGAAAATTCCGGGTGTTAAAAAAGTCAAGTCCAGACTCATACTGGAGGAACTATTGCCTGTTGGCTGGAACTCATTGTTCCTTACAAGCCCTTTTATTTGACTTACAACGACAGACAAGCTTTAGGGTGCTTCTATAGTGTTTTGCAGAGTGACACCAAGTTTTTTCAAGTTGCAGAAGCTAAAAACTGACCAGTTGGATTTGTCTGTCGTCTGACTGCACGTAAGAGTCGAAGCAGAAGTTTTGATGTGTACACATCTAGTCTAGTTGACCTTACGTAAATGCATACATATATTTCCAGTTTAGTCACCCGAATATCGCTCCAGCCCACACTAAAATAAATGATTTTTGTGGCGTTATTTTGTACCACTAGGCCTGATTAAATAATAAGTTTGCATAGCTTCAAGATTTACTCTGTGTGCTCACTATTTGCAGTCAGTCAGTCAGATGCAACGTAGAACTTCGTACGTAAGTACATCAGTTCATGTCGCCATACCACATCAGCACAGAGATACAATTGTCAATTCAAATCCAATAGTAAAAGAGGTAGTAAAGGTATTAGAAGTAATCGGAGAGGTTAGGATTAGAAGATACTATTCAAGAAGTATGATTCAGTGAGAAAAGTTTAGAGAGTCGAAACTAGAGGTGTTGAAGAATCCAGAAGATTAGCATTTGAGAGAACACAAAGAATAAATGCACCTGCGCCATTGCGAACGATTTTGGGCCATGTCATTCAAGGTATCGAACCATCGATTATTATCATCTCGCGGACCCCAACCAGGTAGTCGACAATTACCGACATGACTCAGTCCACTTGTCAGTGACTTCATGGATTTCTGCCATGTTTTGGTCTGGCCGCCCCTAACTTCCTTTAAACCTATTCCTACACTACATAACAAAGCTCGACGTGGCAGTCCGTGGTTAGGCATACGCAGCACATGTCCCAACCACCTCAACTGATGAAGTTTCACTGCTTCATCTATTGACTTGCCATTCTTACCTAGCACCCGATTCCTAATAACAGCGTTGCTCACTCGGGTGTCCCAGGATATACGAACAATGCTTCGAAGACACGTATGATCGAAAACCAGTAACGGACGATTATCTTCTACTCTCACTGGCCATGTTTCACAGCCATAAAGTAAGACGGAGCGAACTACTGCGCAGTACACTCGTCCTTTAGTCAGCAAACGAATATCTCGCCTACGCCATAAGTGACGCAGGTTGGCAAAAGCCAATTTTGCCCACACCAATAAACATTTCTACGAATTAATTTCATGAACAAAAATACATTGGTATGAATATAGAACAATTAGTTTACAGTACTACATACCAGTATTTTCATGGAGTGTTTTTGGTGTATTTTGACGATTGATGATTTCTATCAAAGGATGAATAAACAAAGAAGCGAACGGTGCCATCCCTTCACCTACAAAATAAAAAAGCTATTATATCACATATTATACATCAACAGTAAAATTGTTGGTTTAAATTCTCTTGCTGAAGCTTCCTTGTTGACAATTAAAGATAGGATGAATTTAGTCAGTCAGTTGATGATAAGTACAAGTGTGGATAGCTTAAATTGAAAGATCCTATAACATACCACCACAGCAAAAAAGAACGATGAAGAGAATAATTTTAATTGATGTGAGGTGACTGAGAGCAAAGACTAAAAAATTACGGAGTGGAATCAAGTTTAAAACTGATGTAACTGTAATGCTGGCTGAATTCTCAGATGATTACCGATTTTGAACCCGTTTAATCTGTAATCACTGGAATTGGACGCTACACTGGAAGCTTACATGGTTTGCACCAGCATTTGGGATTTGCATTGGTCATGGTTGTAATTCAGCCTTGAATAATATCTTCGAACCCTACTCTTTTCCATCACCACTAATACTTCTACTATCTCGGCTACTATGGGATTTGAATCGACAATTGTTTCTGTGCTGGACTGAAGTCAACGCGAATTTACAAAGGGTTCAACTGATCCTCTTTTATTTGCAGTATTACACAATCAATATCTGAATTCATGCTTTGCTTAGTTCTACATACAATACTCCCCCCGAATCTCAAGTAATATTCAAAATGCTAAATGCATATGGAGTGAATAAATGTCACTTACCTAACTGAATACAAATTTCTCCGATAGCCCAGATGGCATTGTTACTGACAGATATATGCTCCGAACTGAGATTATTAGCCAAAATTGTCATAAACTGACTAATCTGAGGTTGAATGTACGCAAAGCATGCTTTTGTTAAATCGCCCAAGAGAGCAAAACTACTCTGGCGAACATCTGGTTGGACATCTTGAGCCGCTTCACAGAGCAACTTAACTAAGGGGCTACTCGATACCAAATGTTCCATTTGAGACCCAAGACCTTCCATTAGCCCACTCAAGAGGTCCAGAGATATCACCATAAAATCCTTGTCTGGTGCCTCATACACATCTGGTTGTTGAGCATGTAGCTGTCAAAAATAAACATTCAGATGTATTCAAAGTAGCACAATCACACCAGGAAGTCTAATGAGTATTCAGTAGCATTTGTATCCTGAATCTTAGAAAAGATCGAATTATTGTATACTTTGAAAAACACTCGAGATTCATGAAGACAAATCGCTTACTCAACTACTACTAATTAATTTCACGAAACTATTGAAAAATGACAAAACTAGCGAACATCAAGTTATTCAGTAACCATTTCAGAAATCGTGAAATTAAACTCGGTTTGAATAAATCATATAATTTACAGAGTTGATCTACGTGATGTCACCATCAGAAAACCTTTTATCAATTTTTCGTAGTTGTTAATGATGTACGAGAATGAGTAAACCTAAAAAGGATGTAGAGGTTAAGTTTCTTTTTAAATTGAAATCTATTGAAAGAATGACTTAGGGGACAAACACTAAGACTGGTTTATGTCACCAATCTAAACTGTGTAGAAACAAGAATAAAAATTACCTTACTCAGTTGTACTGTTCTATCAATTAAATTAACACATCGACCAAACACAGGAGCGCAGTAGGGTAGGAAACCTGTTCCCAAAGCAGTAGCCATGCTAGATAAGCACTCCAAAAGCGGGAACAAATCTTTCTCGTCGTCTCTTAAGGCGTTCCATTTCTCAAAAAGTGGCGGCATAAGCATCTCTATAAAATCCTTTGAGGAAATTATAAGGTTAGTTCAAATTTACCGGTTGATTGAGATGATGACCAACAGAATCTGCAAGTGTACCTATAGCATCATACAAAATAAACAAGTTTTTGTGTTGGTATTGCTTAAGTGCGTACACGAGAGTTCTTAAAATGAGATCCAGATGAGGGACGAGATCTGTACATGCTTCTTCTTCTAGAGTAGCGAAAGCAGAGCAGGCCGCCTCTTGAACACGTTTGTTACAATCTAAAATTCTTTTAAGGAGCTACAAAGATTAATTGGAAACGATGACTCACCTCAACCATCAATGGTTTGAAGTATTGCTCATGAGGTTGTCCAACGATCCAGTGAGAATAGCGGCTTAATGTCCAACAAGTTATACTACGTATAAGAGGCCTATCATCTGACAGACAACCAATAAGAAACGGACACAACTCCGGAAGGTATGGGATCATACCCTTCATACAACCTTAACAGAGTCATTTACTATGACAAACTAACCTTCTGCGATAGCACCCAGAACCAGAATACCAGATTCTTTAAGTTCCCACTGAGGGGAAAACAGAAGTTCCTTTGTGATTGGCAACAAAATAGGTAAAAATTCTGTGTGGAAAACACTAGCCAACACATCAAGAGCAGCAGCAGAACATTTTCTTAGAGTCCAGTTGGACACATAATCGTCGTCTCCATCTTCGTCATCATCCTAAACATAACACCACTAGAAGTATGATTACATTTACCTCTGAAGAGAAAATCTTGTTCTTTGTCTTATGAAACCGGGGACGAATATCACACTCCTTATCCGGGAGATGAGCATCTTCTTCTAAGTCATTCTACAGAAATACTTTGATTTAAATATCTTACTCGAAGTAGCACCATATCACTTTCAGAATATTTCATTCCACAAACCAAGATCGGAATAAGTCGCCCAATATACGGCGACAAAGCTTGGTGGCAAACAGGTTGCTCAGAAAGAGAAAGCCAAAATTCACATGCCTCTCTTGAAATGTTCTCGTCAGTTTCTTGGGTGCGTAGAAGCATGAACTATTTTTAAATTAGAAACATAACTTTACCTCTATAATGTCAGATAAATTGGGAAGTAATTTATCCAGATGAGCTTCCAGAAGTTGAACAAATGCAGAGCAAACATGTCGTCGAACATTCGGATCGTCATCTTCAGCCAAAGCGAACAAACACTCCAGAAATTCATTAACGAAGTGTAGGAGAACCTGGGACTGACTATGTATGAAGTGGTTGATGCATGCAAGAGCATGCGACCTAAATGAGCATGAAATATTGTCTTAGTTTTCAAAAACTGTACTCGTTACGGATTGAATTAGACAGAGCTGTTTGAACCTAGAACAGGGAGGATAATGAAGTCTAAAATTCGACTATCACCAACCTGAACAAACAAGACTAAATCAAAGGATTGGGGAAATACCGAATATATATGTGGTTGGTTCAGACTAATGAATTTTCGAAACCGAATACATCCATCAACCGCAAATCTTACGGTCATAACCGGTTTGGAAAAGCTGGTAGTTATTATTAAAGTAGGTTTGAATCCAATAAGGTTTATACATGTAATAGCTATCCAGTAACATTGCCACAAGTAATACTAATACCACTGGGTTTTAAAACGATAATTTATTAAGGAATACCGACAGAGCTCTGACAAAAGTAACAGTGGTAACTGTCATTAGAAAAGCTAAAACCTGGAACTCAAATGAGCTGGTTGACACGGAATAGGATATTTCCTACTTTTTGCAACCGCATAAGAGGAGCTTGAATCAAATGATGAATCACGAGTTATAATACAGGAATGGACAAGACTCTTGTTGAGTAAGAATTTTGTTTAAGAAATCAGCTTCAGAGATTCACTACTGTGACTTAAAATAAGTTAAATAGATCTAGAGACATGTGAGATACGATTAAAACTACCAGTACTTTATAGACAGAGAAAATAAGCCAAATCTGATGGTAATTTATTTATGAGTTTCCAGTTAACAAAAGATCTCTCACCTGATTTTAGGACTGTCATGTCTGGAGTATTGTAAGAATTTCGGGATAAGTAGTCCTATTGGACAACCGATACGATCAGCTTCCAGTTGCGATGATGAATCTTCGCATATTTTTTCGATAGCACCAAAAGCACCCTAGGAACTCATTCACTTAATAACATGACGAACCTCCATAAAATTGACATCGTGAGAGTCAATACATTCCACCAACTTTGGAAGCAACTCCGGCCAGTTTTGTATTCCATCACTGGTTACGATAGTGGTAATTAGGATTCCGACGATAGATCTAATCATCGGTGAGCTGTCACTGACGCACCGCAAACACCCATCTTTGATGTAGCTTATAAGTTCCGGTGGGCATTTCCTGAAATGACTTTTCAAATTATTTTTCAGGATAAGTCCACTGAGAGAACGCGTGCTATCACCTAGAAGAATTTATAGTCAGGTTATGATTGAAACTTACTTTCCGAACCTGCATTCGTCAAAATATAGGCTAGGTATTTATTAAAATCAGGCACATTGTTCAACTCATTCAATTTCTGTAACTGTTAAATAATAAGATGAATTAACCTCATGTACAGCTCTTTGAACGTTTGTGTCTGTTGATTGGGAGTTACGTAGCAAATCAAGAGTTTGCCGTATCCCATCTTCGTCTGGGAACCAACTCATCTTACGAACTGACCGCCAACCGCCCTCAGCAAGCCATTAAAACAAAACGAATTCACATAACCACTAAACGAATGTTTTTTATAATAGAATAAGTTAAAGTTAGCGTTTAGACGTATATTCACCTAAATTTTGGCCTCAATCCCAGAGTAGTAAATGTACTTTGTTATACCCACGTCACTTGTGAGCCAAGAATTTTACCGAGGGAAAATATCGTGTTCAGCTACTTCTGATAAACCCACATTTTATTTACATCAGTTTAACTTGCACATGTTTGTTCTGCACGTGCTTATAAAACATGGACAAATGGTTTAGAAATCGTTTGTGATAAGTAAGTATTAAATATTGATTTCAAATGTGTAAATATTCAAGTTTCTATCGTTTAGACTTCGTTAAACTTGTACATGTCGCATCACTTTTCGAATCGTTTTAATAACGTTGTAATGTTGTCTTCAGATCTGAATGATACTGCTCCCAAACTCACTCGTCCTGCAAACGCGGGCGGCCATTGTAGCAGCCGACTGAAGCAGTAAGTATCAGCATACACCAGAGAAAAACAAGATCCTTAAATAGAGCACTACATGCACGAACCAACCACACGTAACGGTGAATCTTTGAAATATGTGGAAACCTTTATCTACCTCGTCAGATTTATTCATAAACGAGGTGGACCTGATGCAGATTCGAAGACAAGGACTGGCAAAGCAGAGGCAACATTTCTATAGTTAAAGAGCATCTGGAAAGATAGAAAACATCGAGGTCACTATATGTTATTTTATAGTCATTATCACAATGTTACACATTGTTAATTTAGATTAGATTATCACTACAATCTCTTCCTTCTTTGAGGAAAGTAGTAGTCCCTGATCCACGGAGACTCTATCCAAAAAGTGCTTGCCATGCTTCGTTGGAAGGCACCAGCGTAATCCCTCAAACGTGAGGTTCATTTTCTTTCCCCGAGGTTAACCTTGTTTACCCAGCATACATTCAAAGTGTTTCACTTATCGCCAGGTTAGTTTTCCTTTTCTGCAGTTTTTTAATATTTCTTCCGGATTCTGGAGTAGTCTTGGCATCCCATGTACTTATGACAGTCGTTTCCATGGCTTTCAGAAACAGCACCGACTTCATGACTTCCAAAATATATCGAGTTTCACTTCGGAACGTCAGAACTTCTATATGTAAGGACGGCACAACTCAAGATAGAGGTTAGTTGGTTGGAATTATTTTTTGTGTTTAGAGATTTTAGCGAGGTTCTTCTCTATGGAATGTGTTTGCTGACGCCGTTTCTACCATCCACCTTTACGCAAGCTTGGGACTTGCCGTTACACTAGGTCTCCAGTAGGAGTTTCACTGAGTGACATAGCACTTCATCATAATCCATAATGCTACAAAGATAAGTGGAGATCAGAAGTTGAGAAATGAATTCGAAGCAAAACAACTTTATGTACGACATCAAACAGGAGTTTGTTACATGCAGTATAGAATCTGACTAATATTAAAAGGAGACAACTAGCTCAGGCCGAAGATCTGCTTGCAAATACGCATGAGCGGTAAGTTATTTCGGTCATGTTTCAAGTGACGAAACATTCATTATCAAATATCTAGATGGATTAAATGGTGCGAAATTTCTATTTATCTTAACCATCATTCCTTGATGTAATGTTATATTTATTCGTATATTTGTGCATATCGTGATATTGTTTTCGTTTTCAATTTTTCTCCAGAGTATTTATCTATATTCTGTTCCTATTATACCGACGATTACGAATTTTGCTCCCTCGAACTTTCAACCCGTTCCTTTCTGGCCTGACGATATAGAAGCCTGAGGTTTCTAAAGTAGTAAAGGAACCACCGCGTAAGTTGAACACACCATATATATTTCCCAGTAATATTCCAGAAACTTAAGACACTGAAAAAGGCGATTCAGAAACGTGGTGACCTAATCGACTTACAAATGCTGAACGAAGTATTGATGTGGCTTGGTAACAGAAATTTTACTACACTTGAGAGAGCTTATTAGTCAGTCAACCCTTGAGGAAAGCCTTTTTCGACAACTATTTCTATCCAAGTTTCTTTAACGGGTGCAGGTTAATCTCGTCTTATTCCGAAAGAACTGTAGGGGTGAGCTGGAGCCATCTACAAATGATCACAAGAATCCCCAGCCACTCGCCTTTTATACACTCAGCTTAATCGTAAACGATCAAGGTCTCCCCGGAAGAGCCCATCTCGAAGATGTGTTGCCAGACCGCTACGATTTATATTTCAAAATACTTTTAGTGATTATTGTGGTTTACAGTATTATTTTCGATTTCATAATAAGTATCATGAAGTGATCATAAAACACTGTTACAAATGTATGAAACAGGATATATCATAAAATTAAGAATTCTGTATATTCTGACATATTATCTAATCCAACACTATATATTTTAGACTGTCAGGTTATAGTGGCCTCATTTTTAGTAGCTCAAGAACAATTATATCGTGTGGTATATGCTTTTGGCGATATATTGCAACTTCTATTCATTCAGCCATCAATTTCTTTTTACTTCACTGTACGAAGGAGGGGTATGATAGCGAAATGACACACTAGTTTTTACGTTTTGTTAAATTTTTCAAAGTGAAATTGTGCGGGAAAACATAGTCATCAGAAAGTTATTAACTTAAATTTCGGATTCAACTGCGGTCTCATGATATATTGGGGAAAATCGAAATCAAAAAGATTGAATAACTGTATCGTTGCTCAGGAAACCGCTCTAGAATTGTTAATTCACGAGCACACTGAGATCTGTTGTGGGACTGTTGACGTTGATGACCTGCACTTCACGTGAGAACTGATCCTTTGGGTTCCATGTGCATTTATTCCTGGTAGTAGTGGTGCGTCATCATCATACTATAGAGCCGATGGGAATTATTTCAATGACTGGAAACTCGTGTAGTTACTTTGAGATATTTTAGTTCTAGATACATTATCCTTGGAAGCCTTAGATAAGCGCAGGAGAAATCGCAAACTAGTACAAACCAAATTTCCAATGTTCCAGTGTACAAAAATTCTATCCTCAAACATTTTGTATCCGCAAGAGTTTGGTCTCTGAGAATAGGTATAGAGGTAGACTGAAGGTCACCGTGGTTGATTTTATCCATCAGTAACAATCAGCATTACACGCTTTTTGTAACTGGATGTTAAACTCAAGATACTTGGTTTGTGTATAGGAGACAGGCATATCATACGTTAGTTCTTTCGTAACTTAACTTAATCATCAATGAAAACACTAGTTCTGGATTCATAAAGATATTAAGTATTAAAGTTAATTAGAAAATATTCATCTAAATACGAGCATAGTATTTAAGAGTAGCGAATGATTTAAGGACCATAAGTTACTGACGACTATTTGTTTAGTAATGCACATGCTGTTTACATTTCCATTTGTTGTAAGAATGTTATATAAATCCAGTTGAATAATTGAATGTTCTAGGTTGTTGATTATCCTCAAACTGCAATATTCCATTTATACATTTTACAGTTACCGATTTTTACCATTTATCACTTACATATTTGATAGTAAGTAGAAAGTAATTCATACTGTTCTCTAAATAAATATGTCGATCCTCAAACGATGTCAGTTTTTTGATGATGTTCAATCACTTCATCATCGTATGTTGACCAGTTAGCATGATTAAATCGATCATCTCCAGTAATACAGCAAATTACTATTGTATTACTTGTCACAACTTATGCTCTATCATTGTGGATTGCAGAGGTTCCAGTATGTCAGTCTGCTAAAGCATCAACACACACTGTGTGAAAAATGTCTAACTTAGAAGAGAACGTCGAACTTCCATTGTTATTATCAAACAAGTAGCATAATTATCAGTCCCCATCACATCACCTCGCATAAATCTTAAAAGCAATAGCAATACTTTTGTTGTGTTTTATCTCACCATTTCGGCTACTGTTTAAAGATATCACTAGACAGGCATCCGATATCTGAAACTCAATCGAAGCTATGTACATTTTAAATCAGCTGAGTGAAAGATAATCACGTGATTTTTATCTCTCTCTCCCTCAGTTAGAGTGAATATTTTGACGACGTTTGAACAGTAACACATTTTAGTATCATATCGCATTTTTGAGTTCATCTCACTGATAATCCGATCATGACTTCTTTTATGAAACGTTTCTTTTCAAATACCTTTTGTTACTATGTATTTTAGGGTGTTATTTTAATTCTGATATCATGCAACGATCTGAAGTGAATAACCAGTAAAAACCAGAGAGCATTCACTGGATAGCTGTTTTTTCCATTATTAGACTCCTGAGCAGTGTTCATTCACAACTGTGCCATCTTTTCAAGGAGTTTCCTATCTCCACTTTGTAAAGAATTGATGCATAACGGAATATAAAGTGAAATGAATGTGTACTCTGTAAATTCTCAACCATTACACGAGAATCTAGTTTCAGTTTTCTGAAGAAAATGTAATCAAAGTAGCTATGATTAAAAAGTTTAAATTGCGTCATACGGACTGGTATAAAATATATCTGTTTTTAATTTGAGATTTTATCTGCATAGATCCATATGATTCGCTCAGTGTGTGTCTGCATAAATGACTTTGACATTTTTCAAACGGTGCACCCCTCGTGAGTCTACATGAATATTTAACAACCAAACTTTGATGTGTGATGTTTCGAACTTTTATTTTGTATTTCAACTATACAATTTGAAATTTAATCTGTTCACCGATAATATCATTTATGTTTATAATAAGTGGGTACGTTGTTTTAACTTCCTAGCACGAAACTTAAGTAACATTTATTTCTAATGAAAATGAGATATACTGAATAAGCGGAACACCATAATTAATATACTACAGTAGATGTGGTATTTTAGTAGTAGTAGTAGTAGTAGTAGTTCAAATATATTTTCTTACTGTTAACTGTTTAGGTAGGGAATTTGTAGTGACACATTCCTGAGTGGCATTACAAATTAGTTCAGGTTTACACATAATCTTCGATGAAACAAACTATACTACG